AGGTTTTCCCTGGCCAATTCTTTGAGAAGTGGGTGGCCTCCTCCTTCTTCCTAGTCTGTCTCAGTCTGTAAGCTGTTGAAACCTGTGCACCATGTGCAACCCTACTGGGTTTGAGACACCAGTGGCACAGCCTCAAGCCTCACAGCAACAAGCCACCATAGTAGGACAAACTGAGAGACAAGTTTGTCTCCCTTAGGTGTTCAAAACCTCTCCACCCTCCCTACCCTCCTCTTACATAGATCCCTGCCTCTTTCCCACTGCTTGGGAGGGGTGTGGCCTGGGTTCCTGGCCTTACATGGATCCCTGCCTCTGCTTCCTCACTCTGTCCTGGTCTCCTCCCTGGCTTTTTCTCTGCTTCTCCCGGCTTTCCTGCCACTTGGGAGGGCCATGGCCTGGGACCCCGGCCTTACCTGGATCCCTGCCTCTGCTTCCTCGCTTTGTAATGGTTTCCCCCATGGCTTTTTCTCTGCTTTGCCGCTGCTTGGGAGGGGAATGGCCTGGGACACCGGCCTTACGTGGATCCCTGCCTCTGCTTCCTTGCTCTGTCCTGGCCCCTTCGACACCCCCCCCACACACCTTTTTCTCTGCTTTCCTGCCCCTTGGCAGGGCCATGGCCTGGGTCCCCAGCCTTACCTGGATCCCTGCCTCTGCTTCCTCATTCTGTCCTAGTGTCCCTCCTCCCCCCGACCCATGGCTTTTTCTCTGCTTTCCTGCTGCTTAGGAGGGGCATGGCCTGGGACCCCAGCCCTACCTGGATCCCTACCTCTGCTTCCTTGCTCTGTCCTGGTTCCCCCCATGGCTTTTTCTCTGCTTTCCTGCTGCTTGGGAGGGGCATGGCCTGGGACCCTGGCCTTATCTGGATCCCTGCCTCCTTGCTCTCTCCTGGTCCCCCCTGCCCAGCTTCTTCTCTGCTTTCCTGCTGCTTGGGAGGGCCGTGGCCTGGGTTCCTGGGCATATCTGGATTCCTGCTTCTGCTTCCTCACTCTGTCCTGGTCCTCCTCTGGCTTTTTCTCTGCTTACCCCGGCTTTCCCGCTGCTTGGGAGGGCCATGGCCTGGGACCCTGGCCTTACCTGGATCCCTGTCTCTGCTTCCTCCACAGGCCAAGTGGCAGCACTTGACAAAGATAAGGTGGGAGCAGTTACTGTGATGGACAGCAGAATTAAAACAGTAATCAAAATAGTCTAATTTATATGGACCTTAAGGCATTGGCTACTTAGGCATGGTGTCCCTAGGAGTCAAACAGATGGGATATCTACTAAATATTTACTTGATCTGTACAAGCAGTAGAACTCTAGGTCAAGTGAACAGCAATCTAACTTGAATAGCCAGAACAGTCTCACAGTCCTTCAGCTACTTCCCAGACTTGAGCCAGTTTACAGACCCACAAACCCTAGACTTAAGGGGAGGCTGTGTCCCCTTGAGGAAGGACCCACACACACACTGCCAAAAATTTATACTGTTGATTTTTCTCCTAGCCTTCCCCAAAGGGATCTACCACCTTTTACTAGAGTGACTGTTGACTGGGGAAAAGGAAATAATCAGACTTTTCAGGGATTACTGGATATTGGCTCTGAATTAAGGAGCTCTGGTAGTGCAGTGCCTAAGGCATCTGACTCCTAACGAGAAGGTTGGCAGTTCAAATCCACCAGCTACTCTACAGAAGGAAGATGAGGCAATCTACTTCCATAAAGATGTATCACCTCAGAAACCCAATGGGGGTCGCTATGAGTTGGAATCTAGTTGATGGCAGTGAGTCTGGTTTTCTGTTTGGTTTCTGAATTTTAGGAGACCCAAAACGTCACTATTGTCCACTGGTCAGAGTAGGGGCATATGAAGGTCAAGTTATTGATGGACTCTTAGCTCAGGTCTATCTTAGAGTGGGTCCAGTGGGTCCCTGAACCCATCCTGTAATGATTTCCCCAGTTCTAGAATGCATAATTGAAATAGACATACTCAGCAACTGACAGAACCCCCATGCTGGATTCCTAACATGTGGAAGAAAGGCTATTATGGTAGGAAAAGCCAAGTGGAAGCCATTACAACTGCCCTTACTGAGGAAAATAGTAAAGTGACAGCAATACATCGAACCACTTCCATCATGGAAAGGGCAACATTTTGTTCTTACTGGAATAGACGCTTACTCTGGATACAGATTTGCCTTCCCTGTATGCAATGGACTCACAGAATGCATTATTCACTGTCATGGTATCCCACACAGTATCACCTCAGATCAAGGGACTCACTTTATAGCAAATGAAGTGACTCTATCTTCTAGGGGTCTGGAGGTCTTAGTCCCAAAGGGAGGAAAACTCCCACCTAGAGACATAATAATGATTCCATTAAAATGCAAGTTAAGAATACCACTGGCTGGATAGATGGGTTGTTGTTATGTGCTGTCAAGTTGGCCCCGACTCATAGCAACCCCTCCTTGGGTTTCTGAGGCAGTATCACTACAGAAGTAGGATTGCCCAACCTTCCTTCCAAGGAGTGGCTGGTGGGTTTGAATTGCCAGCCTTCTGGTTAGCAGTCAAGTGCCTCAGGCACTATGCTAGACAGGCTGAACTATTAGGTATGTCTGTGCGGGGGGGAGGGGAGAGGGGGGCTCTGGTAGCATAGTGCCTAAGGCATCTGACTGCTAACCAGAAGGCTGACGGTTCAAACCCACCAGCCACTCCTTGGAAGGAAGATGGGGCAATCTACTTCCGTAGTGATACTGCCTCAGAAACCCAAGGAGGGGTCACTATGAGCCAGGTCTGACTCGACGGCGCATAACGAGAACAACAACAACATGCAGGGGGGAGGAGTTCTGGTAGCATAGTACCTAAGGCACTTGACTGCTAACCAGAAGGCTGGTGGTTCAAACCCACCAGCCACTCCTCGGAAGGAAGGTTGGGCAATGTACTTCTGTAGTGATACCGCCTCAGAAACCCAAGGAGGGGTCACTATGATCGGGTCCGACTCAATGGCACATAACAACAACAACAATGCAGGGAGGAGTGTGCCCACGACCATGTATAGGGCTGGCAGACAATGTTTCCACAAGTGTATTGGTACCTTCTGTAAGAATTTCCAGGTATATAGTAGAGTTGACAAGGGACAAGGTTGTAGTCACTTCTTGGTCACAGACAGCTACCCAGAGAGAGCAAGGAGTTGGACCTGTGGGCTCAGGACCATGGTAGTAGGGGACATCAAGCTCAGCGGGCATAACATACTATACAAAAACATTGTTCCACTCCTACTTTGGCGAGTAGCAACTAGGATCTTAAAAGCTTGCAAGTGGCCATCTGATACAATGATAGGTCTCTCCTTGTCCAGAGCAAAGAAGAATGAAGAAAACCAAAGGTGCATGGAAACAATTAGTCCAAGCAACTGGTACACCATGCAATCTTCAGCCCATATAACTATAAGACCAGAAGAGCTAGAGGGTGCCCGGCTACCACTGTCAACCACTCGGAGGGGGATCTATGTAGGAGATCCTGGATAGAGTGGGAGAACAATGTAGAACAAAACTCAAAATCATAAAAAAGAAAAAAGGGGGCCAGTTTTGTTGGCCTGATACAGCCTGGTAGAACCACTGAGACTATGGCCCCTCGCTGCCCTTCAGGTCTGGAATTGAACCTACTCCTATTCCTTCCAGCCAAACAAAAGACAGGCCTATGAGCTGAACATTTACATTAGGTAGATACACTCCTTAGAAAGATCAATCATGGGAGAATAGAAGGGTTATGTACACACAGAGAGACAGCTTAGGGAGCAGGAGTGCATGGGAGGGAAGGACATAGGGAAGAGGTAACTGGGGGGAGGAAGTGGGAGGGGAGCTGTTACACTGTGGGAAATTGTAGTCAATGTCATGAGACAAAGTGTATGTGAACTGAGGTATGGAAAGTGAATTCGCTCTGTAAACTTTCACCTAAATCACAATTAAAAAAAAAAAAACAACCTCAAAACTCAAACTCATTAAAAAAAAAAAGGAACCAAGTTTGCTGGTCTAATAGAGCCTGATGGAACCACTGAGACTATGGCTCCTAGTTGCCCTTCAGGTCTAGAACTGAACCCACTCCTATGGTTTCCAGCCAAACAAAAGACAGGCATATGAGCTGAACATTTACATTAGGTAGATATACTCCTTAGAAAGATCAATCATGCGAGAATAGAAGGGCTGTGTATGCATAGAGAGACAGCTCGGGGCAGGAGTGCATGGGAGGGAAGGACACAGGGAAGAGGTAACGGTGGGGAGAAAGTGGGAGGGAAGATGTTGCATTGTGGGAAATTGTAGTCAACGTCATGAGAGTGTATGTGAACTGCTGTATGGGAAATGAATTTGCTCTATAAACTTTTACCCAAATCACAATAAAAATTTTTTTTAAAAAAGGAATACCACCTGGCCATTTTGGGCTCTGCATGCTGCTGGATTAACAGGCAAAGAAGGGAGGTACTGTATTGTCTGGTATGATTGATCCTGATTACCAAGGAGAGATTGGATTAATAATACATAATGGAGGTAAAGAAGAGTATGTCTGGAATACAGGAGATTCCTTAGGATTTCTCTTAGTACTATCATGTCCTGTGATTAAAGTCAATGTCTGGTTCAACTCTTTGAGTCCTGACACTTGGCACAGGGTGGGAGCTCAAGGAACTTCTGCTGAATATGGAGTAATAACAAAAGTGAACCTGAGCATATGCCTGGAGCAGTTCTAGGCATTCACAGGACTTACCTCATTGAATCTTTACAAAAACCCTATGAAGAAGACACTATTATCATCCTCATTTTGCCTGTGAGGAAAAACTGAGGTGCATAGTGGATTAGGTTAACCTGGCTGGGGTCACACAGTTGGGAAGTGGAAGGCAAGATATGGTCCAGGCCATCTGGCCCAGTGGCTGCTTTGGTGAGCTTCAAGCTCATCCTCACCACAGTTCTACTAGTCAGGCACATGAGATGGTAGCATCTTGGAGCTAGACTCACACCCAGGCCTCTGAGTCCACTCCTGCCTGGCCTCACCTCCCGGATGAGATCCCGGCGGACTTTTGTTTCCTGGTAGAGGAGTGGTAAGATGTCATCCAGCAGGTCACGGACAAGGGAGGGCTTGTTGTGCACAGCTGAGTTGAAGAAAGCCAGAGTGGCCCGGCGCACATTTAGGTCCGGGTCCCGCAGGCTCTCCATGAACTCTCCTGGCAGAAGATAAGAGGGAGTGTGAGGACGGCACAGCCAAAGCAAACCAAACAGCCTTATACTTCAGTTAAGTGTTTCGTTAATGATCTGGGTACACCTGGCTGAACAAGGGGAGTAGTGGAGATGGTATTTTCTGAGCCCCTGCTTTGTGCTAACACAATAACCGTTCAAAGTTGGTATAAGAACATGGACTTGAGTCTGGCCTGGGATCAAATCCAGGTTCTATCACTTACTATGGGACCTTAAACAACAACAACAAAAACTCACTGTCATCGAGTTGATTCCGACTCACAGCAAACCCCTTTGGGTTTCTGAGGTGGTATATCTTTATGGAAGTAGACCAGACTTCCTTCTGCAAAGTGGCTGATGGGTTTGAACTGCCAATCTTCTGGTTAGCAGTCAAATGCCTTAGGCACTACACCACCAGAGCTCCTTCTATGGGATCTTAGGGAGCCTCAATGTCCTCATGTATAAAATGAGTGTGATAACAGTACCTGCACTGTAGGGCTGTTTTTAGGATAAAAAATGATGTGCCTCACACAGGGCAAAACTAAAATCAACCCATGCTGTCAAGTTAATTCTGATTCATAGTGACCTATAGGACAGAGCAGAACTTCCTCAAAGGGTTTCCAAGGCTGGAATCTTTACCGCCACATTTTTCTCCTGCAGAGTGCCTCATGGGTTTGAACCACCAACCTTTCAGTTAGCAGCTGAGCTCTTTAACCACTGTGCCACCAGGCCTCCTTCACACAGGGTGAAGATTCCATAAATATTAACTTGATATTACTACAGACAAGGATCCTGAAGCTTTGAGAGGTAAAGAAATATATACAATGTCACAAAGCACTTCTTTGCGCACTATACTTCTCTTGCAGTTTAGACATTTTAGAACTATGTTCATGTTTTTTTATACTCAAAGAAAATCAAGGATGGGAGGACTCTCTAAAAAAAACCTAACTGTATTTAAAATGATTAACATAACCACCAGGTTATGAAGGGGAAAACAATTAAGCCAAATAACCCCTAAACAAAGTATTTTGACTAGCTGCCCTCAGGCAAAAGACAAAAAGAGCTATAAACAAATACTGATTTATTTTTCACAGAGGTAAGGGCTAGCAATTCTCAAACTTCTCTCTGTGTATTCTAGGACTGCTATTGTTGTTAACAGCCCTCAACTTGCCCCCCACTCCTGGTGACATAAGCACAAAGGAACAAAATGTTGCCTGCACTACCCCCATTGTCAGTTGGGGGACTGGACTGATGATTCACAGGGTTTTCATTGGCTCATTTTCAGAAGCAGATCACCAGGCCTTTCTTCCTTGTCCCGCTAAGCCTGGAAGCACCACTGAAATCTGTTCAGCACCACAGCAACAGGCAAGCCTCCACTGGGAGACGGGCTGTGGTTGCACCTGAGGTACACTGGCTGGGATCAAATCTGGGTTTTTCGCGTGGAAGGCAAGAATTCTACCACTGAAAAATCAATGCTCCCCAATCTAGGATCAAGCAAATAATGAGCTTACTGATAATGGGAGCTGGGTTTCTCACTATAAGAGAAGAGAGTTACAGATATGGAAAGGGAGGAGGCTAGAATGAACCCTGTGGTGTCGGATTAGAATAGGATATAGCTATAAACTCATAATTTTCTAGCTACTTAGATACATATATGTGTATGAGTATATGTTATGGACTGAAATGTATCCCCAAAAATGTATCCTAAATCCTAACCCCTGTACTTGTGGTTAGGAGCTCTGGTAGCATAGTGCCTAAGACATTTGACTGCTAACCAGAAGGCTGGCAGTTCAAACCCACCAGCCACTCCTCAGAAGGAAGACTGGGCAATCTACTCTACAGATACCACCTCAGAAACCCAGGGAGGGGACACTATGAGTTTCTTGACTCCAGAGAGTTTGGTTTGGTACTTGTGGTTGTAATCCCATTTGGAAATGGCTTTTCTTTGTTATGTCAATGAGACCATATCCTTGTAGGGGTATGTTCTAAATCAATCACCTTTTGAAATTTAAAAGAGCAGATTAAGCAAGGAGAGATGGGGAAGGATAGATGCCATGCCATCAGATTGCCAAGGAACAGAAACTGAAGAGACAAGTACCTTCCTCAGAGCCAAGAGAGGGAGAAAGCCCTCCCCTAGAGCCAGTGCCCTGAATTCAGACTTCTAGCTTCCTAAACTGTGAGAAAATAAATTTGTTTGTTAAAGCCATCCATTTGTGGTATTTTGTATAGCAGCACTAGATAACTAAGACAGTGTGTATGTATAAATACACATGTATGTATGTTTGTCTGTGTACATATATACATACACACATACATATGCTCCCCTGCTCTGTATGCTAAGAGGACCTAGAATCAATTGCACACATGATGCCCACATCTTGGTTTCTAATGTTGTTGTTGTTATTTGCCGTCGAGTCGGCCCCGACTCATAGCGACCCCTCCTTGGGTTTCCGAGGCAGTATCACTACGGAAGCAGGATTGCCCAACCTTCCTTCCGAGGAGTGGCTGGTGGGTTTGAACCGCCAGCCTTCTGGTTAGCAGTCAAGTGCCTGAGGCACTATGCTACCAGGTTTCTAATAGGATTCCTCAATACAAGAAATTAAGGCTTCTTAGAGAAATGGCTGAATCCAGGGCTGGGGCAGGAAAGGTTCAAGTTGAGTTTGGAACATATTATTGGGCCAAAAAGGATATGCTGAATAGAATAGAATAGAATGATGTCAGTAGAACATAGGAAGCAGCACAAAGGACTCCCACTGGCCAAATCAGAGACAATCTAGAGCATCAAAATAAGTAAGTACACAAACAGATCACAGCCCACTGAATAAAAAAGAAGTCTATGAGTCTGCAAGGATATAAATAAGTCAATTAATAAATTCAAAATGAAGGGAAAAGAAAGTTCTTCCTTAAGGGACAATATTGTTGTTAGGTGGCTTCGAGCTGACTCCAACTCATAGTAACCCCATGAACAACAGAATGAAATACTCTCTGGTCCTGTGCTATCCTCATAATATTTGCTATGCTTGAGCCCACCATCACAGCCACTGTGTCAATCCATCTTGTTGAGGGTCTTCCCCTTTTCTGCTGAAAGTAGAATGAAACTAATAAATATGGAAGGAATGGTGGCATGAGAAAATCACTGTTTGGCAACTATCATAGTAATCACTGATTCAGGCAAGAAACCAATGGATGCTCAGCTTAGTGAGCAGGCAAAAATTTGAGAGGAATGGGGTATTTACATTGACTCAAAACAAATTATGGATAACACTACAAAGAATGGGAATTCCAGAACACTTACCTGTGCTCATGAGGAACCTGTACAAAGACCAAGAAGTAATCATTTGAACAGAACAAGGGGATACTGCATGGTTTAAAATCAGGAAAGGTGGGGGTCAAGGTTGTATCCTTTCACCATACCTATTAAATCTATATGCTGAGTAAATAATCTGAGAAGATGTACTATATGAAGAAGAATGCAGCATCAGGACTGGAAGAAGACTTGTTAACAATGTGCTATATGAAGATGACACAATCTTGCTTGTAGAAAATGAAGAAGACTTAAAGCACTTACTTATAAAGATCAAAGACTACAAACTTTGGTCTTTGGTATGGATTATACCTCAACATAAACGAAATAAAAATCCTCACAGTTGGACCAATAAACAACATCACAATAAATGGAGAAAAAATTGAAGTTGTCAACGATTTCATTTTACCTGGGTTCACAATCAATGCCCATGGAAGCAACATTCAAGAAATCAGACAACTTATTGCACTGGGCAAATCTGCTGCAAAAGACCTCTTTGCAGTGTTAAAGAGCAAAGATGTCTCTTTGAAGACTAAAGTGTGCCTGATTCAAGTGCTGGTATTTTCAATAGCCTCATATATATGTGAAAGCTGGACAATGAATAAGGAAGACCAAAGAACATACATTTACACTGTGTAGGCCAAGAACACTGAAAATACTGTTAGGCAGGAAGATAGGAGAGGAGGCTGCTGAAGGCAGGAGAAAAGGGAGAGAGGTGGAATATTTAAGTTTAGTGAGCTGACACCTGTAACTGCTCACAACTGCCTGTGAGATTTGGCTAATTAAAATTAAGCAGAACAACGGCAGACCACAGAATAGTTAAGGAAGTTAATGAGCTGACACCTGCAACTGCCCAAAACTGCCTGTAAGATTTGGCCAATTAATCAGGGTCACAGGATCCTGACTCAAGAGGCTCAGCCCCACCTTAAGAATGCCCCTTTCAGGAAGTATAAAAAAAGTGAGGCAGTTTGGCATCTTTCCCAATCCATGGGAAGGGCCCATCTTCATTCTGCTTTTAACGGCCCTCCCCACTTGGCAGAGGGAGGTCCGTTTCTCTTCTGGAAACACACTTTGCTTTCAATAAAGGCTGTGTGCTTGTGTGACTGGCACTTGGTTGAGTTTCTCAAGCCACCGCTGAAAACCACCGCTTGCTCATGAATTGCCTGGGACTGCCTGCCCAGATCCCTTGCTCATGGAGATCAGTCCTGCGAGTAGGGCGAGGCCAGGGAAAAGGGGCTTCTTCACCTGAATAATACCATAAACTGCCAGAAGAACAAACAAATCTGTCTTGGAAGAGGTACAGCTGGAATGCTCCTTAGAAGCAAGAATCTCCAGACTTTGTCTCATGTACTTTGGTCATGATGTCAGAAGGGAGCAGTCCCTGGAGAAGGATATCATGGTTGGTAAAGTAGAGGGTCAGCGAAAAAGGGGAAGACCTTCAACAAGATGGACTGATGGAGTGGCTGCAATGTTGGGCTCAAACAGAGCAAAGGTTATGAGGATGGTGCAGGACTGGGCCATGTTTCATTCTGTTGCACATGGACAAAACAAAGCTAACCATCCATGCCACCCTTGGGGCTGGGAAGATTAACCAGCATATTAAAGGGCCTAGCTCTGGTAGCATAGTGGCTAAGGCACTTGACTGCTAACCAGAAGGCTGGCGGTTCAAACCCACCAGCCACTCCTCGGAAGGAAGGTTGGG